GTCTGAAGTCGGAAGTCAAGTTCCACCTGATCGGTCTCCGCCCCGCTCCCGCTTCCCTGCCTGAGTTGATCAAGGCAGCGGTCGAGTACGACGATGCTCTTCATCGTCTCAAGGTCTCCTCCCGTTCCCAGCCTCCTCCTCCTTCTTCTCGCTCTGCTCCCCATCACCACCATTCTCCCGCGCATGTTTCTTCTTCCTCCTCTTCTGCACCCACTCCCATGGACCTTGACTCTGTCTCGGTCCGCCCTGCTAAGCTCTCCGACGTCGAGAAAAAGCGACGTCGTGAGCAGGGTCTCTGTTTGTACTGCGGGGAAAAGTCTTGTCCCGGCAGTCGCGATGTTCAGCAGTGCCCGGTTCTGGTCAAACGGAACTCGGGAAATGCCCACAGCCGAGCAGCACCTCGCAAGTAAGCGAGGTGGTCTGTTCGGCGATACGAACATCTTCCCCTTTTGACTCGTCATTATCGGACGATAAGCTTCTTCTTCCGGCCACTCTTATCGTCATGAGTCTTTCTGGCCCGGTCTCCATCTCCCTTTCTGTCTTTATTGATGATGGATGTACCGCTCTTGCCCTCATTGATCCTGCCTTTGCGGATCTCCATAAACTCTCTCTTATCCCTCTTTCTACTCCTTACTCCGTTTCCCTTGCTGATGGTTCTTCGGCCGGTTTCATTCGTTTCCAAACCGTTCCTGTGACTCTGACCATTGGTTCCCACACCGAGTCGATTTCTTTTCTTGTGACTCGACTCTCCACCACTCCCATCACTCTTGGTCTTCCCTGGATGCGCTTGCATAATCCAGTTGTCAATTGGAAGTCCCTCTCCCTTTCATTCTCCGATCCCTCTTGCCTTGCTGATGGACACATCCTCGCGGATGTCTCTGCTTCTTCCTTGGACACTTCGTCCGCTTCCGGCTCTTCGCCTCCCCCTTCGGGCACTTCGCCTCTGACTCTTCCTCCCTCCGGTCCTTTCATTACACCGGTTCCCTCCTTTGGCACTTCGCCTTCCCTTTCTTCCCGCCTTGACTCCGCTTCGCTTTCTGAAGAGCCAACGGCTTTATCTTCACCCGACATTGAGCTCGTTAATGCGGCGAGTCTTCTCCGTCTTGCACGGGAAGACAAGCTCGACATTTTCGCTGCCCAAATGGATATCCGTCCTCCTTCGCCGGAGACGTATCCTACGGTGTCGATAAGGTCCGTGCTCACGACGAAGGTGTATGCCGAGTCTGGCACCCCTGTTGACTCTCGAGGTGTCCCACTCAAATACAATGAGTTTGGCGACGTTTTCAGCCTCAAGTCTGACCCTCCTTCTTCCTTGCCTCCTCACCGTCCGTATGACTTGTCTATTGAGTTTGTACGGACCGAGGATGGAAAGGAACCTCGTTTGCCAAAGCCGGGGAAAGTCTATCCTTTGTCCCCGGCCGAGGAATCTGCTCTTTCGGAGTATCTGACCAACGCCCTCGCACGTGGTTGGATCTCCAAATCCTCTTCTCCCGTTGGTGCTCCCTGCTTCTTCGTGAAGAAGCCCAATGGTGGTCTTCGCCTTTGCGTCGACTACCGGGGCCTCAATGCCATCACGAAGAAGAACCGCTACCCTCTTCCCCTCTTCCAGGATCTTCTGGATAAACTTTCTTCTGCCCGCGTCTTCTCACACCTTGACCTTCCTGATGCTTACCACTTGGTTCGTGTCAAGAAGGGCGATGAGTGGAAGACTGCTTTTGTTTGTAAATCTGGCTCATTTGAGTACAACGTTATCCCCTTTGGTCTTTCGAATGCCCCCGCTGCTTTCCAGTTTTTTATGAACGACATCTTCTCGGACCTCCTTGGTGTCTGTGTTGTCATTTATCTTGACGACATCCTGATCTTCTCAAAAGATCCCCAGGAGCATGAGGAGCATGTTAAGCTTGTTCTTTCTCGCCTTCGTGAACACTCCCTTAAGGTCAATCCGGCCAAGTGTTCTTTTGACCTTTCTGAAGTTGACTTTCTCGGCATGATCATTTCTGCCGATGGCATCAAAATGGACCCTGCCAAGGTCGAGGCCGTTTCTCTTTGGCCTGTTCCCTCTTCTGCTCGCGATATCCAAGTTTTTATTGGTTTCGCAAACTTTTACCGCCGCTTCGTCAAGGACTTTTCTGCACTTGCTCGTCCTTTGACTTCCCTCACTACCAAATCTTCGACCTTCTCTTGGTCTCCCGAGGCCCAAGAGGCTTTTGATTCTCTTAAACGTTCTTTCACTTCCGCACCTATTCTTCGATACTTTGATTTCTCTAAACCCGCTGTCATCGAGCCCGATGCTTCTGACTTTGCTTTGGGTGCCGTCCTTTCCCAGTTTGACCCTGACGGCGCTCTTCACCCCGTTGCTTTTCACTCTCGGCAATTCCGTCCCGCCGAGGTGAATTATGACACTCACGACAAAGAGCTCCTTGCTATTGTCGATTCCTTCACTGCCTGGCGTCATTACTTGATGGCTGCCGACCCTGATCATCCCACTCTTGTCTTCTCTGATCACCAGAACCTTACCCGGTTCACTTCCGCTTCTCAACTTTCTCGCCGCCAGTTCCGGTGGGCCCAATTCCTTTCTGACTTTGCTTTTCGCATTTACCACCGCCCTGGTCGCCTCAACACCAAAGCCGATGCTCTCAGTCGCCGTTCTGACTTTGAGATAAAGCCTGGTGACTCCCTCCACTCCACCAACTTCCTTCAGCTGTTCGAGTCTATTTCTCTCGACAGCATCACTGTTATCGGCTCGAACCCCGACTTTCTTTCCGAGATTCGAGCTGCCACCCTTTCTTGTTCCCTTCTTTCTGATTTTAACGCCAAACGTCTTGATGGCGATTACTCCTTCCGTGACGGTCTCCTTTACTTTAAAGACCTGATCGTTGTCCCTTCCGCCGAGCTCCAGCTCAAAGTGTTTGAGCAACGTCACTGCTCCGCTGCCGCTGGTCACTTTGGTCTTGCCAAGACCGTTGAGCTCATCTCCCGGGACTTTCACTGGCCCCGGCTCCGTAAGTCTGTGCGTCGCTTCATTGCTAATTGTGAAGCGTGCCAGCGAGCCAAGCCGTCCCGTCACTCCCCTTATGGTTTACTTCATCCTCTCCCCGTTCCTTCCGAACGTTGGTGGGACCTGTCGATGGACTTCATCACGGATCTCCCACCTTCGAACGGCTTTGACTCCATCTTCGTGGTTAAGGACCGCCTGTCCAAACAAGCACACTTTGTGCCCACCACGAAGACGGTTACAGGCGAGCAAACCGCCGAACTCTTCCTCTCCCACATCTTCCGCTTGCATGGTTGTCCCCGGTCTATTGTTTCGGACCGAGGAACTCAGTTTACTTCGGCCTTCTGGAGGCGCTTCAATGAGCTTCTGAAGACGAAGATTTCCCTTTCTTCTGCCTTCCACCCCGAGACCGACGGTTCGACCGAGGTTCTCAACCAGGTCATCGAGCAGTATTTGCGTATCCATTGCAATTACCTGCAAGACGACTGGACCCTTCACCTTCCCCTTGCCGAGTTCACTTACAACAACTCGGAAAACACTTCCACTGGCATGACTCCCTTCTTTGCAGTCCATGGCCATCACCCCATTTTCGATCCCTCCATCATCCGTGATCCCTCTGTTGTGCCCTCTGCCGAAGAACGTGTCGACCGACTTCAGACCGTTCTCGAGGATCTCAAGGCCAACCTCCGGGTTGCCCAAGAGTCCTACACCGTGCAGGCCAACAAATCCCGTCTCCCCACTCCCGACATCTCCGTTGGCGACCTCGTTTTTCTTGATCGTCGCCACATCCGCACCCTTCGTCCCTCCAACAAGCTTGACCAGAAAAAGCTTGGCCCCTTTAAAGTTCTTCGCCGCATCAACCCCGTTGCCTTTGAACTTAAACTCCCTTCCACACTCAAAGTCCACCCCGTCTTTCATGTATCCCTCCTTGAACCCCGAACGAAGGACATTGTTCCCGAGTTCACCCAACCCGAACCTCCACCCATTCTTGTTGACTCCCAGGAAGAGTTTGAGGTCGAGACTGTTCTCGATTCTCGGCTCTTCCGCGGTCGCTTACAGTACTTGGTTCAGTGGAAGGGCTATTCCGAGACTGACCGGTCTTGGGAGCCCGCTGCCAATGTTTCCCACGCCACTGATCTTGTTGCTGACTTCCACCTTCGCTATCCCTCAAAGCCGAAGGCGACGCCCGGAGTTCGTCGCTAAGGAAGGGGATGATGTTAGGGATAGCTCCTGCTTGTTCTCCACTTTGACTGCACACTTGGCTGTTCTTTTGCCTTTCTGTTTGTTTGTGTGTAGCTTTGCAGTTCCCCTCCAATTTTCCGCCCTTTGCCTGTCTTTTCCGCTCCTTCCGCACTTCCGTTTCCCCGCGCTGCTCCGCTTCCTTTGTCTTCTTCGCACGCGCCGGTTTGTTTGTGCACGCGCCTTGCTGCGATTGGTTGCAATTCGGCTGCCGGTCATGTGTCCCCCCACCGGTGACTCATGACCTGCCTGACCGCCCCGATCTCTTGTTCATCTCGCATGCATTTGCCCCAACCTTGTACTTGACCAATCCGCTTCTTGGATGTTGACTCACATTGCTTCGCCTTTGCACGTTTCTCCTGCCTGGTGCTTCGCTTTTGCTTGCGCCTCTCTCGCTTTGGTACTCTGCCTGTCTCGGTGGTCCTTCTCGGCCCTCGTTCGTGCATCGCCCCCTTCGCCCTGCTCGATCGCCCACTTTTCCCTCCCTTGGCCGCCCTTCGCTGCCAAGTCCGGACTTGTCTATAAATAGCCTGACCCCCGCGATGTGTAGTCGAACCTCAGCGTTCAAAATAGGACTAAATAAAGTGCCTTCTACTTTATTCTCTGAGTGTTCCTCACGTCTCATTTCGAGACAAGTCTTATCTTGAACGGATCTTTGCTTCCCTCGCTCCCTCTCCGAATCCACTTCGGACTTTACCCTTGCCTTCCCTGAGCTCACTTCGAGCTCACTTCTTCTTTTGCCGTTGAGTCCCCTTCGGACTCTAACATGACCCCTCAATCTCCTGATTTGAACCCCATTGAACATCTCTGGAGCCATTTCAAGCGTGAACTCAACAAGTTTGAGACCCCGGGTGGATTTCACGACCTCTTCGATAACATCAAGACCATATGGGACGGCCTTAGTGCCGATGTGTGTAAATGTTAGGGACTGGGACTGGGAAACGGGGTCGTGGTGCAAGGAACGGGGTCGTGGAGACTGGGCAAGAAGCTTGGGAGAGGTTCACTCGCCTGGGAAGGGCCGGGCGAGGGAAGTGGTTTATTTATCTGGCTTCCCATGGTACATGACTGTGGGAACAATAAACGGGACTGGACAGACGCGCTCGTGTAACCCAAGCGCGGACAGGCATTCTGGATCGGGAAGCGAGTCACACGTGGTTCCAGCCGTGGGAAAGTGCGGTTTGAACCCTGACAGTAAACCATTGGTTTAAAGCATGCCCAGGCGCATGGCTGCAGTGATCAAGGCCAAGTGAGGCCCCACCAAGTATTAAACTTGTAAATCAGCAGCAGTTTTATAATAAAATATCGAATTTACGATTATTTGGTTGAGAGTTCCAAAAGTGTCCCAATGATGGAGCCGGAATCGAACCTGCATCACACTTCCAAATTTGGACTTTGTGCGACCATATTCGGTACACATGATATTGAGTAGCAGGGCTCGGTGATTGCAAAGTATGATACAGATCGAAGCAGGATTGACAGAGCTGGCGATGGTCAAAGTGGAATGACCAAATCATTGGGACACTTTTGGAAGCCACTGTACCATGTGCTTATGAGCATATGGTCTCGACCCCACTCAATATTCATCAGGGAGAAAAACATGACGACAAGGAATAATGGCAACTTTCTCCCAATTTGTTACTGAACGAGGGCCGCCACTCGCCGGAATCGTTCGTACACGTGTGCATCGGGCATGTACCCCTCGTCCCCTTGCTGGAGCACCTCTAAATAGAGGCAATCCGTCGGTTGTGGTGCTCCAGCAAGATGTATCATCTCGTAGTCTTGTACCCGCTCTTTCGAATACACATCGTTCCTTCGCCTATGCCCTCTATCTTCCCATTCCTGATCCTTTCTCTACCTCCGGTCGCCTCGCCATCCCGTTGCCTGCCCGTCGTTACACGATAGGTACAATGAACGACAAGACCGAGACACTCGAAGGAGCCGCATGTATCATGCTGACCACCCCAAACGGATCAAATGTAGGTGATTGGCATTCAGGATGTCAAGGCCTATCTTTTTTCGCACCATATGATCCTATCTGGGACGCCATCAAGGAGAATGCCTTGCTATCGATTTTGAAACAAACCCCAGCCAATAGACATTTCCCATCTGCACGCAGGCAGCGGATGCGTCCCCCGATGATAAAAGGGCACCCGTTACCTCCGTCTCCGACGCAACCACACCACACCTCTCCCACCCTATCCAGTGTTATCCTACGACTTACGCACTTCTCTTACTACATTTACTACAATCAACATTCACTCTGAAGCAGTCTCTCTTCCACCACTCTCGCCTCCATGGTCGACCCTCCCGAGATTTCCGGCAAGCGTCTCTGTCTCCCTCAAGACCACCAAGTCTCGCCTCTGGTCCAAGCCTCCATTGTGGTGTCCAACGAATTCTTCCTCCGGCGTCTGGATGTCTCTACCCTGCTCCGACTCAAGCAAACCTGCAAGACTATCGACTCATTCATTCGAGGCTCCAAGTTGGTCCAATTCCGCCTTTGGCTCGACATGAATGGGATGGATATCTACCATGGCCACGGAGACTACCTCACCAATCGATATGGTGAGTTTGACGTACAGAAAGCGATTCTGGACCAAGACGCCAAGCGCCTCTTCCGGAGCTACCCTTCCCCGTCCCCGAGCTTCTACGACGACCGCTGGCTCTTGAAGATTATGGACGCACCCGAGGACACCACGATGTACACCGAGGCCGAGCGAGCAACTGCCTCTGCCGTCTTTGCTCGGCTGGTGATAAACCGCTGCGTCGGATCGGAGGGTAAATATCAAATTACCCGCAACAAATTGAAGACTTATTACGATGCCGTCGAAAATGCCGCCATACTCGGGGACACTGTCGCAGTGTACATGCTGGGCATCGGATATCCGAGTCGATACGGCCTCTCGGTCATATACTCGGACAACGTTGTCGAGGAGACGGCGATTCCCAGACTCGAGGAGGCGAGTGTCGCCTGGTATCCGTTTGCCACCGCCATTCTCGCTACGATCTACCGAGGCAAGTAGCTCTACCATCGAGGCAAACGAAATAAAAGGAAGTTTTGAAGGCTGCTCTTCAATGCCCAAACGACTCAGCACCCGGCCCTTTGGGCATACGTTTGCAAGTTCGAAATACGTTGTCAACCCCACATTCCTGTGAGGAAACGATGAGGAGGGTGTGTGTGCAAGGGAGAATACCGGACCAGGTGCTTGGTAGAAGAGGTGGTTAAGGGAAAACGTTAATTTTCTGACTGGAGTGCGACGCATGCGGACGGACACAGGTCGCTTTAAAGACCAGGATACCCTCGGGGGACGTGGCGGGCGAAAGCGGTCCCAGTGCGCGACGGGGGCTGTGTAGCACTCGAGAACCAAGTAAAAGATGCGAGAACATGCGAGGTGCAAGAGAGAGAGGCTTGCCACAGCCCAGCGGCATGTGTTAACCGGTGGCGTCGTCGGGAGCCACTCAGAGGGCGAGGCAAGAGCACGGGGCCAGCCACGAGGTTAAACAAAAGTCGTGGAAGGAAACTATTGGTGCGCAGAATGGTGGAGGGATCGAAACGGTTCCGGCTAGGCGCCGGAAAAACGGAAGGGCGGCTAAACTACGGTGAAACCCCGGAAGAAATCTGGGAGCCGAAGGGACGGAGTGTGGGAAACCGGGAGGAGCAGGGAGGAGCGAGAGGGAGCGAGAGGAAGCGAGAAGGGAGCGAGAGGAAGCGAGAAGGGAGCGAGAGGAAGCGAGAAGGGAGCGAGAGGAAGCGAGAAGGGACCTCGGAGTGCAAGAAAGGTCCTCGAGGGACCGGGGAGCGACCAAAACGGACAGGGATGGTGCGGAAAGTCAAGTTCGCGGGGCGGGGAAAGCCGCTGTGATGCCAGAACATGGAATAGTTCATCTCGATTCCGGAGCCATCGTGGACCAGCTCGTTCGTAGGAGCCAAGCTTTGATAGCTCATCCTCAATTCAATCCCCTAGGTGCAAAGGAGAGTAGGTATGTATCAAAACAGCTTTCTGCCATGATGTTTCCAGGAAGGGTATTGACTGGCACGACGTCATTGACTCTGGAGACAAATATTCTGGCGACATCGGCATCGATTCGGTCGGACAGACGATAATAACGGTATTGTATTGGGCTATACTGCTCTGTTCTATCCGAGCTGATTGGTGTCATATTTAACTTGACTTCTGACTCCAAAGACGAAAATAATGAAGGAGAATCGATGACAATGTGTCATAGTACACCGAGTGTCACAGATCTCTCTGCCCGTCAGGCTGCATCGTCGCACTTGTGTCACTGTTTGCGTCGCACACTTTCTTTTTCCTTTGTCCTGCGACGCCTTTCCTTTCTCCTTTGCTCTTATGTTGCACACGCCGCTCTGTGTTCCCTGCATTTGTCATCGACCATGCATTAGTCAGACGCTGTGTCACCCGCATTTGTCAGCCACCGAGCATTTGTCAGACTTTCATATGTTTCTCCGGTTAGCCGCTGCTGCCTGGCTGCTGTCCCGCCGCCTCCGCTGCTTCGCCCCCGCTGCGGCAGGCTTCGCCTCCGGGACCGCCAGACAGATAAATAGCCCGCCTTCGCCCGCTCATGTTTCTGGTCATCACCTTCGACCCCAGACACACTTGACTCTGGATCCTAGCCTCGCTAAGATCAATAAAACCCTTCTCTATCTTCTTTTGACTTCCTCTTGATCCCGTGATCTGACAGACGTGCAGTCGTTTCTCGGTCTCGTCAACTACTACCGCCGATTCATCCCCGATCTGGCGCGCACTGCCGGTCCACTCACAGACCTACTCCGCAAAGAGTGCCCCTTCGTGTGGGACCACCCCCAACGCCAAGCGTTCGAGACTCTCAAGCACGCCTTGACCAACGCTCCTGTCCTCGCCGTGTTTGACCCGAACACGGATGTCTCCGTGCACATCGACGCCTCCGACTTTGCGGTGGGAGCTGTTTTGGTGCAGGAGGGAAGGCCCGTTGCCTTCGAGTCGCGCAAACTGTCCCAACACGAGATCAACCATCCCGTGCACGAGAAGGAGCAACTCGCGATCATCTACGCGCTGCAAATGTTCCGAGTGTACCTCCACGGTACCGCCAAGCCCTTCAAGATCGTTACAGACCACCAGTCACTGCGTTACCTCGACACCAAGAAGAACCTGAGCCGACACCAAGCGCGATGGATGGAGTTCCTCGCCGAGTACAACTACGAGGTTGTATACCAGAAAGGCAAACTCAATGTGGTGCCTGACGCACTGTCCCGACGCCCCGACTACCAATTGGCGTCACTGTACGAGTCGACTGTCAGTGTCGACAACACGATGCTGGATGTTGTCCGAGACAACATCGCCAACGACAAACAGTTCGGAGAACTGTTCCGAAAGGTGTCCATGCTCCCCAAGGACGACGAATCGTCCGAGTACACGGTGCGTGATGACCTGCTCCTTCTGAAGAAGGACAGCCGTGTCTGTGTGCCGGACATTCCGTCGTTGAAGACCAAGTTGCTCCAAGAGGTCCACGACTCGCCCCTCGCTGGACACTTTGGAGTCGAGAAGACATACGACCGACTGGCCAAAGTCGCATACTGGCCTGGAATGAAGCGCACCGTCGAGAAGTACATCGAGTCCTGCCATACCTGCAAGATGGTCAAGTCACGCACGACCCGAGAGCAAGGATTGCTGCAACCCCTGCCTGTTCCCGACCGCCCCTGGACCAGCATGTCCATGGATCTCGTCACGCATCTACCGACGACCAAGTTGGACCACGATGCAATCGCTGTCTTTGTCGACAGGTTCAGCAAGATGGCACACTTTGTGCCGTGCCAGACGACATGCTCCGCGCCTGACCTTGCACTGCTGTTCTTCAAGCATGTGTTCAAGCACCACGGCCTCCCAAAGTCCATCGTCAGTGATCGAGACCCCCGATTCACCTCCTTGTTTTGGACAAGTCTGTTCGACCATCTCGGCACCAAGCTGAACATGTCAACCTCACACCACCAACAAACGGACGGACAGTCCGAGCGGACGATCCGCACCCTCGAGCAATACCTGAGGACAGACGCCTCGACCAGCCAAGACGACTGGGACATACAGCTGAGTCATGCAGAGTTTGCATACAATACCGCCAAGTCGAGCACAACTGGTTTGAGCCCCTTTGAGGCGCTCTACGGATTCCAGCCTGATGTCCCCACCTCCTTGACACTGACCGAGTCCACAGCTGGATTGCCTCCCAAACCAAGTGCCTTTGTCAAAGATCATCAAGTCCGACACAAGATGATCGCTGACGCGCTCGCGGATGTGCAACAAGTGATGGCCCGACACTACGACCGTCGACACCAGGATGTCTCCTTTGAAGTCGGAGACCTTGTCTACCTGGATGCCGACAACATCAAGGTCCCCGAAGCCCAGTCAAAGAAGTTGTTGCCCAAGTACCGAGGACCGTTCAAGATAGCGGCCCGACCCAGTGTCATGAACCGAGTTTCCTTGCCTTGTATCTTGCCTAGTTATCTTGCCTTGTCCTTGAAATGAACTTTGTATTTTTAGTATCCTAAGCCTTGGATCTAGAATAAAACTTTGGCTTCACACTTGACACTCTGTGTCCCAGTCCAGTCCCCACTCCTCTCCCTACGTTCGAGTCTTGCAATAGGACTCTTGCGCACTTCGCTGCTTGCCCCGTTGTCCAGTCTTGACACCCAGTCCCCTCAACTACCTGTTGGACTTGCCACCTGGAAGCAAGCTCCATCCTGTCTTCCATGTGTCCAAGCTGCGTCGCCACACGACCCGCAGTCCAACACAATTCCCCGACGCCGACGAAGGTGTCCCAGACGACGCACCACTGGAAGACGATCTCGGACAATACTACACCCAAGAATATGAAGTGGAGAAGATCGTGAGGCACAAGAAAGTGGCTGATGGTTCACTTCGATTTTATGTCAAGTGGGTTGGTTACCCACACTCGGGCAACACATGGCAAACACTGGAGGACTTGTCCCATGCACCCGAGGAGCTGAGTAAATACGGTAAACACCTCGAGGAGTCCCAAATAAAGAGTACACGCAGGGCTCCTCGCAGGAAGCCGTCTTAAGTGTGGGAGTGTAGGAGATGGTATCTCCGACGCTGTGCTGCGCGTACTGCGCGTACTGCGCGGCGCAGTGGGTCGTGACCTGTGCTGCGCTTTGCGTTTTCACGCACCGCAGGCAGGCCACCGCAGTGTGACATGGTCACGTCGAGGACGTCACATGTCCGTCCCACCTTCAGCCCCATGTTGCATAGGATCATGATTCGTAACCCAGGGGAGACTCAGGGGAGTCTCAGTCAGGATTCTGCACCTAAATCTCCGAACTGTGTTCAGAGGAGGTACTTAAGGAGCTCGGACAGCGTTCCCACCAGAGAGTTAGAAGACTTCCCCCTAGAAAAGAAACCTGGAATCCCGGGGGACTCACTTGATCAAATACACCTTATATTTATCTCCTATCTTGCATCATGGGTGATGACATGGTAGCATCGGAACAAGGCTCCTCTATTGCAGGATGCCTCCAAGCCCTCCAGGACCTGTCGCCAGAACTTCGAGCACAAGTGCTCGCCCAATTCACATCGGAACCTACTAACAGCCTCAAGATATCCAATCGTCCAAAGCTGCCCCCTCCGCCACCTTTCTCCGGAGAGCGCAAGGCCGCCATCGTCGAGGAATTCGTCTTCTCTATGGACGAATTCATCAAGTACTATACCCTCGACGATGCCACCGCGATTCCCACGATTGCAATGAACCTCCGCGGACCAGCGAAGACCTGGTGGAGACTCTACTCTGTTAGAAACAAGACTGCCGTCAAGAAGATGACAACCAATTCCATGCTCTCCCTCATCCGCGACACCTTCACTCCTGTTTCTTCCATGAGAAATTACGAGGATGAGTTCGAGAACATTCGTCAAGTCGGAACGGTGGCCTCGTTCAACTCTAGATTCCGCGAATTACTTCTTGAACTTCCTCACCATGTCAGCGAGAAGGTCAACGTGCAGCGCTACATGTCCAAGCTCAAACCGAAGGTCCGTGCCGAAGTTGAATGGAAGCTTTTCGGCATCGTCGAACCCGCCCTCGACACAGCCATGATGATCGCGGAGCGCTACGAACTCATCGTGTCTGACGCGTACGATATGCGTCCACCGCGAAGGGACACATCAACCCCTGCCATACACCATCCTGTGCGAAACACCTTTCGTCAAGCCCCTCCCACTTTCCATGTTCCAGCACCCCCTCAGCCCGGACCCCGCTTCAGAGTGCCAACTCGCGACCCGGACGCCATGGAAATCGATCACCTTCAACAGGGCCCCCTCGGCAAACTAACCGAGCGTGAGAAAGAGTTTCTTTGGCGCAAAGGTGGATGCTTCCGCTGTCGCAAGCTCGGGCATATTGCCTCTCAATGCCCAATGAACATCGCCAGATTGAATACTGTCGAGACCTTGGATCAAGGCACCTTCTACGAGAGGCAAGATCAAATCGACCAGGGAAACGAGCAGGCGACAGCCCCCGCTTGTCATGAACTAAACCCTCCCTCGGCCAGGTTCCCCCGGGGCTGAGTACTTTGACACCTTCCTCTGTTTGTATCAGCCCTCTCAACATTTGGTGTGGCCCGGAGGCCATGCCTCTCTTTATTGTTTCCCTCCCCTGCCCCCTGCCCCCTGTTTGGGGGCCATGTGTGTGTTTGATAAACCGAGGCTTGCCCAGCCAGTTAAATAGGGGACGATTCCCCCTGGATGGGCAAGACCTCAAGTGAAATATCCTCTCAATAAAAGTAGGATCATCACTCTCTCTTGAACCTGTTCCTGTCCAGTCCCCGTTTCTGACAAGTACAGAGTTGTCCACAATTATCAAAATGTTTTGATCACTCCACTTGTGTCAGGGGTGAGTGAGGTGGTAGGAGGAAATGCGGGCAAGGCAAGGAAGGGTGATGATCACTGGGCTGTAATGGGCGGCAATTCACTGGGTCCTCCTCCAGGAGCTTCTCCCCTAGGGTCCTTATAAAGTGGCTTCCAAAATTGACCCAATGTTTTGGTCATTCGACTTTGAACATCGGCTGCTCTGTCAACCCTGCTCCGATCTGCATCAAACTTTGCAATAACGTAGCCTGGCTACTCTGTATTGACTGTGTCAAGTATGGTTGCACAAAGTTCCAATCTGGCTGGATGGTGCTGGTTCGATTCCGGCTCGAGCATTGGGACAATTTTGGAACCCTTTGATTTTTGACCCCCAATGACCACTCTCACCGCTGTAATACTTTCAATTTTGCTGAGTTAGGCTTGAAACTTTGCAAACAGGTTTTACAAGGACCAGTCATCATTTTGTATGCATTGGAGTTGTTCAAATCACGTGGACACACCGCTTTGACCAGAGTCCATAATGACCTTCATGTGCAAGTTGGAACCCATAAAGTTGTGCAAACTTCGCCAGTTTGATTGCTAAAACATAAACACCAAGTGATTACAACATGGTTGAACAAAGCCGAGGTCATTCGATTGGGATATGATCAAGTTGAATCGAAGCGACTCTACTGCCGTATCAGACTCAAACATGTATTCTGCCCCTAAATATAGATTCAAGCTCGTTCAAGTGCAAATATCACGACGATGATGATTTCTTTCGGCACCATTGTCACATCTAATCTTATCAGAAGGTATTCCCAGCGAATCTCGACCCCAAATCGACACTATCCTGTTTGTTTGACAAATCAATATATGGCACTATTAGACCAAGATGCTTACAGTCCAAAATATTCGTACAGTTGGAGGTATATGTATTTCAGTTTGTTCTTTAAAGTATCAAAAAACAGTTAAAGCAAAGATCCCTCCTTCTTTTAAGTAAGAATAATAATATCGTCCTCTCAACGATTCTCGAAAGAGTCAGCCAGATATGGCATCGACCTTGTGCCAGTGTAATAAACTCTGATAGTTTCAAAGTTGGAAATACGTACTCCATCACCATTTTTTATTCATTTTGAGTGAATAATGAGCGAAAAGATCCAAATTCGAGTGATTTTTGCTCGATTTGGAATTCGAAACACAGTTTGATTGATATCGGTGAAGTAGTCCCCTTTGATTGAAGTTGATCAAATCCCAATCGAATGACCTCGGCTTTGTTCCAACCATGTTGTAATCACTTGGTGTTTATGTTTTAGCAATCAAACTGGCGAAGTTTGCACAACTTTATGGGTTCCAACTTGCACATGAAGGTCATTATGGACTCTGGTCAAAGCGGTGTGTCCACGTGATTTGAACAACTCCAATGCATACAAAATGATGACTGGTCCTTGTAAAACCTGTTTGCAAAGTTTCAAGCCTAACTCAGCAAAATTGAAAGTATTACAGCGGTGAGAGTGGTCATTGGGGGTCAAAAATCAAAGGGTTCCAAAATTGTCCCAATGCTCGAGCCGGAATCGAACCAGCACCATCCAGCCAGATTGGAACTTTGTGCAACCATACTTGACACAGTCAATACAGAGTAGCCAGGCTACGTTATTGCAAAGTTTGATGCAGATCGGAGCAGGGTTGACAGAGCAGCCGATGTTCAAAGTCGAATGACCAAAACATTGGGTCAATTTTGGAAGCCACTATATCTTTGAGTTCTTCGATCCATTTCTTATTGACTGGTGGCTGGGGTCGGTGTTTCGTCTCGATGTGTTGACCTGGCATAAGAATCCTTCATATGTGCATCCATGCGGCGAAAAACTTGATCGGCTGTCGGCCGGGCCTTCGGGTCATTCGAGACACACTCCAGAAGGAGCTCCTTAACGGGCGCTGGGATCGACTCTGGTACGATCGGAGAATTGCCGGCGGTGTGTTGCTCGCGGAAGTCGTCAATCGTCGTGATTTCAGTGCCTCAAAGATTCCCAAAGTCTGAGAGGATTTCGATACATGCAATTCCGTATGCATATATATTGGTGTTGAAGTTGGGTGTCGCACGTTGAGTGGTGCGTTCCGGGGCGAAGTAGGTAAATGTGCCATATTCGATTTCGTCATCGGGGAGTGGGATTTGTTCGCGTCCGTCGAGGCCCTCCTGCAAGACCAGAGAATTTGGGAAACCATTGAGTCGAACCGACTCACGGTCATCGAGGAGGAAGCTGTTTGGCTTGACGTCGACATAGACACATCGCTTCTCGTGTATGTGCGCCAGTCCTTCTGCGATCTCGGTCGTCCGTCGAAGTTTGGTTTCGAGGTTGACCGGGTGGGCCGACATAAAGGTTTCGATATTCCGGTTGCGATACAGTGTTAGAGTCCAAAGGGGACTCAACGGCAAAAGAAGAAGGTGAGCTCGAAGTGAGCTCAGGGAAAGCAAGGGTAGAGTCCGAAGTGGACTCGGAGAGGGAGCGAGGAAAGCAAAGATCCGTTCAAGATAAGACTTGTCTCGAAATGAGACGTGAGGAACACTCAGAGAATAAAGTAGAAGGCACTTTATTTAGTCCTATTTTGAACGCTGAGGTTCGACTACACATCGCGGGAGTCAGGCTATTTATAGACAAGTCCGGACTTGGCAGCGAAGGGCGGCCAAGGGAGGGAAAAGTGGGCGATCGAGCAGGGCGAAGGGGCGATGCACGAACGAGGGCCGAGAAGGACCACCGAGACAGGCAGAGTACCAAAGCGAGAGAGGCGCAAGCAAAAGCGAAGCACCAGGCAGGAGAAACGTGCAAAGGCGAAGCAATGTGAGTCAACATCCAAGAAGCGGATTGGTCAAGTACAAGGTTGGGGCAAATGCATGCGAGATGAACAAGAGATCGGGGCGGTCAGGCAGGTCATGAGTCACCGGTGGGGGGACACATGACCGGCAGCCGAATTGCAACCAATCGCAGCAAGGCGCGTGCACAAACAAACCGGCGCGTGCGAAGAAGACAAAGGAAGCGGAGCAGCGCGGGGAAACGGAAGTGCGGAAGGAGCGGAAAAGACAGGCAAAGGGCGGAAAATTGGAGGGGAACTGCAAAGCTACACACAAACAAACAGAAAGGCAAAAGAACAGCCAAGTGTGCAGTCAAAGTGGAGAACAAGCAGGAGCTATCCCTAACATCATCCCCTTCCTTAGCGACGAACTCCGGGCGTCGCCTTCGGCTTTGAGGGATAGCGAAGGTGGAAGTCAGCAACAAGATCAGTGGCGTGGGAAACATTGGCAGCGGGCTCCCAAGACCGGTCAGTCTCGGAATAGCCCTTCCACTGAACCAAGTACTGTAAGCGACCGCGGAAGAGCCGAGAATCGAGAACAGTCTCGACCTCAAACTCTTCCTGGGAGTCAACAAGAATGGGTGGAGGTTCGGGTTGGGTGAACTCGGGAACAATGTCCTTCGTTCGGGGTTCAAGGAGGGATACATGAAAGACGGGGTGGACTTTGAGTGTGGAAGGGAGTTTAAGTTCAAAGGCAACGGGGTTGATGCGGCGAAGAACTTTAAAGGGGCCAAGCTTTTTCTGGTCAAGCTTGTTGGAGGGACGAAGGGTGCGGATGTGGCGACGATCAAGAAAAACGAGGTCGCCAACGGAGATGTCGGGAGTGGGGAGACGGGATTTGTTGGCCTGCACGGTGTAGGACTCTTGGGCAACCCGGAGGTTGGCCTTGAGATCCTCGAGAACGGTCTGAAGTCGGTCGACACGTTCTTCGGCAGAGGGCACAACAGAGGGATCACGGATGATGGAGGGATCGAAAATGGGGTGATGGCCATGGACTGCAAAGAAGGGAGTCATGCCAGTGGAAGTGTTTTCCGAGTTGTTGTAAGTGAACTCGGCAAGGGGAAGGTGAAGGGTCCAGTCGTCTTGCAGGTAATTGCAATGGATACGCAAATACTGCTCGATGACCTGGTTGAGAACCTCGGTCGAACCGTCGGTCTCGGGGTGGAAGGCAGAAGAAAGGGAAATCTTCGTCTTCAGAAGCTCATTGAAGCGCCTCCAGAAGGCCGAAGTAAACTGAGTTCCTCGGTCCGAAACAATAGACCGGGGACAACCATGCAAGCGGAAGATGTGGGAGAGGAAGAGTTCGGCGGTTTGCTCGCCTGTAACCGTCTTCGTGGTGGGCACAAAGTGTGCTTGTTTGGACAGGCGGTCCTTAACCACGAAGATGGAGTCAAAGCCGTTCGAAGGTGGGAGATCCGTGATGAAGTCCATCGACAGGTCCCACCAACGTTCGGAAGGAACGGGGAGAGGATGAAGTAAACCATAAGGGGAGTGACGGGACGGCTTGGCTCGCTGGCACGCTTCACAATTAGCAATGAAGCGACGCACAGACTTACGGAGCCGGGGCCAGTGAAAGTCCCGGGAGATGAGCTCAACGGTCTTGGCAAGACCAAAGTGACCAGCGGCAGCGGAGCAGTGACGTTGCTCAAACACTTTGAGCTGGAGCTCGGCGGAAGGGACAACGATCAGGTCTTTAAAGTAAAGGAGACCGTCACGGAAGGAGTAATCGCCATCAAGACGTTTGGCGTTAAAATCAGAAAGAAGGGAACAAGAAAGGGTGGCAGCTCGAATCTCGGAAAGAAAGTCGGGGTTCGAGCCGATAACAGTGATGCTGTCGAGAGAAATAGACTCGAACAGCTGAAGGAAGTTGGTGGAGTGGAGGGAGTCACCAGGCTTTATCTCAAAGTCAGAACGGCGACTGAGAGCATCGGCTTTGGTGTTGAGGCGACCAGGGCGGTGGTAAATGCGAAAAGCAAAGTCAGAAAGGAATTGGGCCCACCGGAACTGGCGGCGAGAAAGTTGAGAAGCGGAAGTGAACCGGGTAAGGTTCTGGTGATCAGAGAAGACAAGAGTGGGATGATCAGGGTCGGCAGCCATCAAGTAATGACGCCAGGCAGTGAAGGAATCGACAATAGCAAGGAGCTCTTTGTCGTGAGTGTCATAATTCACCTCGGCGGGACGGAATTGCCGAGAGTGAAAAGCAACGGGGTGAAGAGCGCCGTCAGGGTCAAACTGGGAAAGGACGGCACCCAAAGCAAAGTCAGAAGCATCGGGCTCGATGACAGCGGGTTTAGAGAAATCAAAGTATCGAAGAATAGGTGCGGAAGTGAAAGAACGTTTAAGAGAATCAAAAGCCTCTTGGGCCTCGGGAGACCAAGAGAAGGTGGAGGATTTGGTGGTGAGGGAAGTCAAAGGACGAGCAAGTGCAGAAAAGTCCTTGACGAAGCGGCGGTAAAAGTTTGCGAAACCAATAAAAACTTGGATATCGCGAGCAGAAGAGGGAACAGGCCAAAGAGAAACGGCCTCGACCTTGGCAGGGTCCATTTTGATGCCATCGGCAGAAATGATCATGCCGAGAAAGTCAACTTCAGAAAGGTCAAAAGAACACTTGGCCGGATTGACCTTAAGGGAGTGTTCACGAAGGCGAGAAAGAACAAGCTTAACATGCTCCTCATGCTCCTGGGGATCTTTTGAGAAGATCAGGATGTCGTCAAGATAAATGACAACACAGACACCAAGGAGGTCCGAGAAGATGTCGTTCATAAAAAACTGGAAAGCAGCGGGGGCATTCGAAAGACCAAAGGGGATAACGTTGTACTCAAATGAGCCAGATTTACAAACAAAAGCAGTCTTCCACTCATCGCCCTTCTTGACACGAACCAAGTGGTAAGCATCAGGAAGGTCAAGGTGTGAGAAGACGCGGGCAGAAGAAAGTTTATCCAGAAGATCCTGGAAGAGGGGAAGAGGGTAGCGGTTCTTCTTCGTGATGGCATTGAGGCCCCGGTAGTCGACGCAAAGGCGAAGACCACCATTGGGCTTCTTCACGAAGAAGCAGGGAGCACCAACGGGAGAAGAGGATTTGGAGATCCAACCACGTGCGAGGGCGTTGGTCAGATACTCCGAAAGAGCAGATTCCTCGGCCGGGGACAAAGGATAGACTTTCCCCGGCTTTGGCAAACGAGGTTCCTTTCCATCCTCGGTCCGTACAAACTCAATAGACAAGTCATACGGACGGTGAGGAGGCAAGGAAGAAGGAGGGTCAGACTTGAGGCTGAAAACGTCGCCAAACTCATTGTATTTGAGTGGGACACCTCGAGAGTCAACAGGGGTGCCAGACTCGGCATACACCTTCGTCGTGAGCACGGACCTTATCGACACCGTAGGATACGTCTCCGGCGAAGGAGGACGGATATCCATTTGGGCAGCGAAAATGTCGAGCTTGTCTTCCCGTGCAAGACGGAGAAGACTCGCCGCATTAACGAGCTCAATGTCGGGTGAAGATAAAGCCGTTGGCTCTTCAGAAAGCGAAGCGGAGTCAAGGCGGGAAGAAAGGGAAGGCGAAGTGCCAAAGGAGGGAACCGGTGTAATGAAAGGACCGGAGGGAGGAAGAGTCAGAGGCGAAGTGCCCGAAGGGGGAGGCGAAGAGCCGGAAGCGGACGAAGTGTCCAAGGAAGAAGCAGAGACATCCGCGAGGATGTGTCCATCAGCAAGGCAAGAGGGATCGGAGAATGAAAGGGAGAGGGACTTCCAATTGACAACTGGATTATGCAAGCGCATCCAGGGAAGACCAAGAGTGATGGGAGTGGTGGAGAGTCGAGTCACAAGAAAAGAAATCGACTCGGTGTGGGAACCAATGGTCAGAGTCACAGGAACGGTTTGGAAACGAATGAAACCGGCCGAAGAACCATCAGCAAGGGAAACGGAGTAAGGAGTAGAAAGAGGGATAAGAGAGAGTTTATGGAGATCCGCAAAGGCAGGATCAATGAGGGCAAGAGCGGTACATCCATCATCAATAAAGACAGAAAGGGAGATGGAGACCGGGCCAGAAAGACTCATGACGATAAGAGTGGCCGGAAGAAGAAGCTTATCGTCCGATAATGACGAGTCAGAGGGGGAAGATGTTCGTATCGCCGAACAGACCACCTCGCTTACTTGCGAGGTGCTGCTCGGCTGTGGGCATTTCCCGAGTTCCGTTTGACCAGAACCGGGCACTGCTGAACATCGCGACTGCCGGGACAAGACTTTTCCCCGCAGTACAAACAGAGACCCTGCTCACGACGTCGCTTTTTCTCGACGTCGGAGAGCTTAGCAGGGCGGACCGAGACAGAGTCAAGGTCCATGGGAGTGGGTGCAGAAGAGGAGGAAGAAGAAACATGCGCGGGAGAATGGTGGTGATGGGGAGCAGAGCGAGAAGAAGGAGGAGGAGGCTGGGAACGGGAGGAGACCTTGAGACGATGAAGGGCATCGTCGTACTCGACCGCTGCCTTGATCAACTCGGGCAAGGAAGCGGGAGCGGGGCGGAGACCGATCAGGTGGAACTTGACTTCC